GATGTGCTCCACTCTCTCCTCCCCCTTCATCTGCTCCAGTGTGCTCCGATCAGATATGTCCCTTTCCCGGAGCTGCAGATTCAATGCCGTCCTTTGAAATAAATTCTTCTGGGGGAAGGGGCAGGTGTCCACGTAGTAGTTGGGATTGGAGCTGGCCCCCCAGACTTCTCCACTGGTTCCCTACTCCACGCCGGCATGTTGCATTCACATCTTGGAGCGCTGGGTTGAAGTCTGGTCCCTCTTTTCCTGTGTAGATATAAACAATACCCTCCCCTTGGGTGGGTTAGTGCCCTGTGCCCCTGCTACCCATTTCTTTTTTATTATTTTTTTCCTTTCCCCACCTCCTTTCTTTTAAAAAATAGTTTTGTTTTGTTTTTTTAATAGTTTTATTGGCATCTAATTCACATATCGTATAATTTAATTCTTGAATTGTATTATACAGAATTGTGTAATCATCAGCACAATCAATGTCAGAAAACCTTTTTCTCATATTTATTGTTGTTAGTTTCCCATTTCCTCCAACCATCCTGACCATGCTCTTTAGGTAATTATTAATCCAATTACTGTCTCTATAGATTGACCTATTTTGGACTTCATATACAGAAAATCATACAAAACACAAACAGGAAGCAAACAAGCAAACAAAACCAACAATAATTCAACTCAAAACTTACTGCCATCAAGTCAGTGCTAACTCATAGTGACCCCCTGTGGGTTTCCAAGACTGTAACTGTTTACGGGAGTGGAAATCCAAGTATTTCTCCCTCAGAGCTGCTTCTGTTGCTGCTGGCTTTGAACTGACAACCATGCGGACTGCAGCCCAACACATAACTACCAAGAAATTGCGGCCAGCAATAACTAGTGAGAAGCCTAACTCAGAAAGAAAGCAGAAATATTAAAAACAGAAACAACTTTAAAATGGGTTAAAAAGGGATGGGGTGGAAAGGGGAAGCCGATTACAAAGATCTACATATAACCTCCTCCCAGGGGGATGGACAACAGAAAAGTAAGTGAAGGGAGTGCAAGAGATGACAAAATAATAATAAGGGCAACGAATCCACAAATGTGCTTGGCACAATGGATGCATGTATGTATTGCGATGAGTTGTATGAGCCCCCAATAAAATGATTTTTAAAAAATGGGTCAAAAGGGTGATCAAATAAGGTGTTGCCACAATTGACTTTACAATGCTTTGATAGCAAAGCTATTCACATCCCTGAACTATGGTCAGAGGGAATTCTTTGGAGGTTTAACCCATGTGGGGCCCCCCCCCCACCTCCTTTTTAGTTGTCTACCATGTGTATCCCTGTATTTGGTGCCGAAGGGATCAGTTACCAGGCATCAAAGAGCAAAAAATCATATCATTGTGTGCTCACCTCTCTGATACGATCGCTGAAGACAAATGGGTGCAGACTGGCTGATCTGTTTGGCCTAGTGGGTCAGGATGTGCTCCAGTCTCTCCTCCTTCCCCCGTCATCTGTTCCTGTGTGCTCTGGTCAGATATATCCTTCTCTAGGGGACTATATTTTGCCAGATTTCCCTCTGTCAAGATTAAGCAATCTGTGGGAAATTATTTGAGACTAAAAATCCAGTCTTTTACCCCATTGTTTTAGGGTCCCTTAGTGATTGTTACTTAACTCAGTTTATTACTGTGGTAGTTGCAAGATGGAGGCTAGCTATCTGGCATTCTTTCTACTTTTATTATTTGATATTCTGTCATAGAGATTTATCTTTTATTCCCATTTATCCATTTATTTAGTTTTCCATATTAGTTTGTTTTCCTTTCATGCATATCTTTTCTTATTAAAAATAGCACACTGTCTATATACTTGCTGGCTGTTTATTCATTTAGTGATATGCCCTGTAAATTATTTAATGTACAAATACTTTATTCTCCATAGTACTGCATTGTGTGAACTTTCCAGAGTTTATATCCCTACGTGTGGGTATTTTAATTAGCCGAGTTTTTATATCTTGGCAGTGTTTATAGTTTGGACCAGACAAGTCTTGGTTGTGGAGGGGCTGTCCTGTATGTATAATATTGGATGTCAAGTAATGTCCTTGACTTCTACCCACTAGATGCCTTTTGCCTCCTCTGTTATGTCTCAGGACATTACCCGATATCCTGTGGGGTAAAATCGCCTCTAGTTGACCACCACTGATGTAGATATTAATGTCAGGAACATTTGGCAATAGGTAACAAACCACAAACCCTGAGGAAGTATTTATAGGTGAGAGAATTAGACTGAATCCTAGGTAACAACAATACTTCAAGGTTAGAGTAGGAAAAAAGAGTGGAACAAAACTCAAAATGATTTTGAAAAGCCAGGCTCACTTTTTGGATAGTGACTGGTTGAACCTCAGAGATCCTTTATTGCTGTTATGTGTCCTTGGGTTGGCTACCTCATGGCAACCCCTTGCACAGCAGAACGAAACTGTGCACAGGCCCACACCATCCTCTGTGCCTGTCCCTGAGTCCATTGTTGAAGCCATTGTGCCAATCAGGGCCTTCCTCTTTTCTGCTGCCCCTCCAAAGCATGATGGACTTCTCCAGCGACTGGTCTCTCCTGACACTCTGTCCAAAGTATAAAAAATGAAGCCTTGCCTTCCTTGACTCTAAGGAGCACTTCTTCCATCACAGATTGGTTTTTCCTTTTAGCAGTCCATAGTATTTTCAATACTCTTCACCAGCACCACAAGTCAAATGCATTGATTCTTCTGTCTTCCTTATTTAATTTGAAGTCCGACTTTCAAGCACACAAGGTCATTGAAAATACTATGGCTTGGGTTAGGTGCACCTTAGTCCTCAAAGAAATATCCTAGATTTTCAGTACTTGCAGCAGGTCTGTGCAGCTGATTTACCTAATGCAGCTTGTTTTTTGATCTCTTGACTGCTGCTCGCATGAACATTGATCATCGAACATTGGTAGAGTGACCCTTTAGTCACTCTTCATTCTGGCCTGGAAATGAGCTCACTCGCACAGCTCAGTTTCTAGCTGAACAATTTCAGAGGAAGAGTCAGTGCCATCAGGAAAGTAGAAACACGGTAGAATTATCAACTAGTTGAGATCAGAAGGACAGCATCTGATACCCAAGGACAAACTAGATTAAGGACTTATGAAAATGGTTAGGTAGGGCAGGAATTATTCATTATCCTTGAGTCGGTTTCAACTAATAGTAACCCTATGTGCAACCCAACTTTCAGGTAGATGGGTTGGCATAGGGTTAGAATGATAAAAGATTCTAGTCTTTTTTTTTTTTTCAATTATTTATTGGGGGCTCGTACAACTCTTATC